GCATGAATGGGGGAGGGGCAGAGAGAGAGGGAGACACAGAATCGGAAACAGGCTCCAGGCTCTGAGCCATCAGCCCAGAGCCCGACGCGGGGCTCGAACTCACGGACCGTGAGATCGTGACCTGGCTGAAGTCGGACGCTCAACCGACTGCGCCACCCAGGCGCCCCTAAACTTAACTGTTTTTAATGCTAAAACTTAATATTCATGTCCTACAGATTATCTCACCAGAAAAATTTGATTCTTTAAAATCAATTTATAAACTTAGACTAACAAAGTATTTTGGTTTGGTTTCGTTTTGATTTTTTCTGTGCAAATTCAAGAGTGAGGAAAGATTGAAAAATAAGTGAACAGTGTTTTAGGGACATGTGGAACAATATTAAAAACTCCAATATATCTGTAATTAGAGTCTCAGAGAGAGAGAGACATAATATTTGAAGAAATAAAGGCTGAAATATTTGCAAAAGCATTGATGGATACAAATTTACAGATTTGAGAAACCGAGCAAAACACAGAATGAAAACAAAGAAAATAACCTAGGCATATTTTCAAAATACTAAAATCAAAGATAAAGACCAAATGAAGATGAATCTTGAGTAGCTAGAGAAAAACAACATGTTTTGCACAAAAGGATAATGATTTGAACACTCATTGACTTCTTATCAGAAACAACAGAGGCCTGAAGATAATGGAACAATGTATTTGTAAGTGCCACCAAAATTTACTTCTCCATCCACTGAGATCTTTTGAAAATTAAATTGATATGAAGATGTTTTCAGGTAGAAAAAACAAAGAGAATTTTTTTGCAGAAAGCCTGTACTTTAAGAAATGATAAAAGTAGTTCTTTAAAAAAAAAAATAAAAAAGTACAAAGATAAAATGAAGGATAATGATGTTAAATGGAAACTTGAATATGGAAGAGATATTAACAGAAAAAAATGATGAATAAAATGATTTATTTCCTTATTAATATATTTAACAGTATATAATTGTTTTGAAGAAAAATTATATTATTGTCTTGTGGGATTTAAAACATACATAGTCATAATATATGTATATATAACAACTGCAATATAAAGAACTTAAGATGGGTAAATTGTTAAATATAGTCACAAGGCTTTCACATTTTATATTAGGTGTAAATATGTTCTTTCTCATGGACTATGAAAATGTATGGAGGTATATTTTAATTCATAGAGCAAGTACTAAAAATGTGTGCAAATAGTTTTCTCTAAAATGTCATTACATAAACTAAAATGAAAGTCTAAAAGTATTCCAGTAGTTCAAAAGAAAACAAGAGGTACAGAAATAAAAAAGAGAAAAATAAGCAATATAAAACAAAACTCTAAAATTAAATCTGAGTTAAGATAGCAGAGTAGTAAGGGGAGTCTAGGCTTGTCTCATCCCTCGAACACAGCTGGATCAACATCGAACCATTCTGACCACCCAGGAAATCAATCTAAGCATTAACAGAACAATCTGCATAATTTGAGGGACAGAATATGTCAGGTACAAAGTGCAGAAAGGTGAAATGGGAGAGAGAGAAGAGTTGTGGTGCTGCAGAGGGGAGGGAGCTGTTTTCACAGAAGAGAAAGACAGAAGGAGAGAGAGAGCAGTGCATCAGGTTTACACAAGAAAGTCCTCCCCCTGAAAGCAGCTAGAGAGAAAGAGTGAAAACAAACACAGGAAACTGCATAAGAAAACTGTTCTCCAAAACCATTGATGGGGAAATAGGAGAGGGTTTCAATACTACCAGTTTTTTTTTATAAATAGAAGAATCTGAAGTTTCAGAGGTTAGCCACTGGTGGTCCTCCAGATAGGAAGCTGAGCAGAGCCCCAGGAGTGGACAGCATGGTCTAAGGATCCCCTGGGTCAGACGGGCAGAAGCAGTTCCCCTGGTTGGAGTGCATTTGGTAGAGGTGATACAGCCTCACCATAGGCAAAAGACCCAGTGAGCACCATCAAGCCGCCATGTTCACACATATAGAAACAAAGACATGGGCTGAAGGCAGCAAACCCTGGAGCCAGCTGTATGTTGTGATTTACCATAAGCTCTAAACCTCTGCCATGCCTACTGGCACCACTGTTTCCTGGGACAAGCTGGCCACAGCATAGTGAGCTCTTCCTCCACATCACTGCAGGTCCAAACCATGGGGGTCTCTGAGTGTGGGGTTTTGAAATGCAGCTATGCCTGACATAAAACTTTGGAGAGAGATGCTGCCTGGTAAGTGGACAGCTTGGACACAGGCAGGGGGAAGGTGGGGGGGGGCAGATGGGAAATGGGGCACACAGGAGAGGTGACTGTGCATCGCTGAGTGCTCAGACTTCCTGTTCTGGAGACTAGAGTGCAGGTTGAAGTCATTTTCACCATTAGCTTACCAATACTGATCGACCCCCATGAGCTAAACAGGACCACTGAATGGAGAATGGAAACCTGACAATAAGCTCTGTTTCCCTGTGCCCTCCAGGCACATCTCCACTAGGGCAAGTCAGCCTGAAAATCAGAAAAGCAGGCCTCGCCCCGGAGGACCAGCACAAATCCCTTACACAAGCTTAGTCTATTGACTATAGACTTCTGCAAAGTTTCAGATCTAGGGGAAACTGGATCTAGCTTCATTTGTTTTTTTGTTTGTTTGTTTGCTTATTTATTCATTTTTTATTCTTACTTCTGTTTTTGTTTTTGTTATTCTTGTTCTTTTCTTTTGTTTCTTGGATGCAGAAAGAGTAAATTTTTTTATTTGATTTTTATTTATTTTTTATTTTTTTAATTTTTATTTTTTTTCCATTCTTTCCTCTTTTCTCTTTTTTGTCAACCTTCTCTTAACATGCAAACCAAAACACACCTATGATCTGGCTTCATTTATTTATTTTTTTAATTTTTAAATTTTTATTTCAATCCATTGTTGTTGTTGTTGTTGTTGTTGTTATTTCTTTCTCCAAGATGACAAGATGGAAGAATTCACCAAAAAAAAAAAAAAAAAAAAAAAAAAAAAGGAAAGAAATGAAAGCCAGGGATTTAGTCAATGCAAATATTAGTAAGATGTCTGAACTAGAATTTAAAACGATTATAAAGATATTAGCTGGACTTTAAAAAAGCACAGAAGGGGGTGCCTAGGTGGCGGCCCAGTTGGTTGAGCATCTGACTTCGGCTCAGGTCATGATCTGAGAGTTCGAGCCCCACATTGGGCTCTGTGCTAATGGCTCAGAGCCTGGAGCCTGCTTCGGGTTCTGTGTCTTCCTCTCTGTCTGCCCCTAACCCACTCACATTCTGTCTCTGTCTCTCTCAAAAATAAATAAACATTAAAACATTTTAAAAAAAGCACAGAAGATAACAGAGAACCCCTTTCTGCAGAGATAAAAGAACTAAATCTAGTCAGGCTGAAATTAAAAATGTTATAACCGAAATCCAAACCCAAAGGGAGGCTGTTGAATTGAGGATGGATGAGTCAGAGGAGCAAATTAGCAATATAGAAGTTAAAATTATGGAAAACAATGAAGCTGAGAAGAAGAGGGAAGCAAGTGTCAGGGATCACAAAGGCAGACTAAAGGAACTCAGTAATTTATTAAATCATGATAACATTCGTATCAAAGATGTCCCAGATGGTATGGAGGTTCCTCAAAAAACTAAGAAAATAACTACCTTAAGATCCAGCAGTTGCACTATTAGGTATTTACCCAAAGGATAAAAAAAATACAGATTTGAAGGGGTGAATGCACCCCAATGTTTATAGCAACATTATCAACAATAGCCAAACTATGGAGAGAGCCCAAATGTCCATGATTGATGAATGGGTAAAGATGCAGTATATGTATACAATGGAATATTAATCAGCCATCAAAAAAATGAAATCTTGCCATTTATAATGACATGGATGAAGTCAAAATGTATTATGCTAAGCAAAATAAGTCAATCTGAGAAAGGCAAATACCATATGATTGCACTCATATGTGGAATTTAAGAAACAAAACAGATGAACATATGGAAAGGGCGGGGAAGAGAAGAAAGGGAAACAATGGAGAAGAGACTCTTAATGATACAGAACAAACTATGGGTTGATGGAGGGAGGTGGGTGGGAGATGGGCTAGAAGGGTGATAGGTACTAAGGAGGGCACTTGTGGTGAACACTGGGTATTGTATGTATGTGATGAATCAATAAATTCTACCCTGAAACCAATATTGTACTGTATGTAAACTATAATTTTAATTTAAAAAAGGGAAATAAATAAATTAAGCAAATTAAATCCAACCTCAACAATAATTGCACTAAGTAGCAATGAACTAAACATACCAATTAAATGTAATGATAACAGAATGGAGAAAAATAATCTACAAATGATGTATTTAAATAAAGTGGTATAGGGATGTTGAAAAGCATAAGAAGCCTACGTAGACTGTGTGTGCTAGAAAATATGGGGAGAGTAGATTTCCACAACAAATAAAGGGCAGTATTTAATAATGATGAATTATTCAGAAAGACCAAACAACTAAAAATATGTATGTTCAAATAATAGAGCTTCTAGGTATAGAATAATAGAGCTTCTAGGCATGACTGGATAGATACGGAGAAATAAAATATATCATAAGCAGATTGCAATATTAAATTGATCTTTCAGAAATTGACAAAAACAACTAGAAAAAAAATTAGGGAATACATAGAAAATCTGAAAATTTTTACTGGGTGCCTGAGTGGCTTAGTCGGGTAAACGTCTAACTCTTGGTTTTGGCTCAGGTCATGATTACACGGTTTGTCAGTTCCAGCCCTGTGTTGGGCTCCACACTGACAGTGCAGCCTGCTCGGGATTCTCTCTTTCTGCCTCTTCCCTGCTTGTGCTCTCTCTCTCCCTCTCTCAAAATAAATAAACTTTAAAAAAGAAAAAGAAAAAATGTTATTTCTATCTTAAATAAATTATACATGGAAATTAAAAAAAAACTTTTCTATATGGAATATTGATAATCAAATAATGGGGAATGGTAGCATAGTGTTACCTATATAAAATATATCCAAAACCAATAGTGATTAGGCGATTCATTTATTGAGGACATAGCTATTGTGTACTCTGAGGGGATTCTCTGGAATCTTTAAGTGAATTAATCTAACTTCATTACTATGTAAAAAGATATCAGAATTATCATTATTTTAATTCTGTATTTGGTTTATTGTAGGTATTACATTACCTTGGAACGTTACAACTCAAACAATAGTTTCTTAAGTAAAATGATTTAGATGTATTTTATTTGGTCATTTTGTACAGCTAAATATTAACTGTGGCAGGAAATTCAGACTTGGTTATCATATAACTATTGGCAAAGGAATTATGCAAAATAAATTAGTACTTAATAAATGGCACCTGAAAATTGTTTAATGAACAACAGAAAAAGGAGTGCACCTTACTTTGCTGTATTAAAAATTACAATTTTTAGGAAATGTGATATGATTTAAGAAAAGATACAAGTGGGGCACCTGGGTGGCTCAGTCAGTTAAGTGTCTGACTCTTGATCTTAGCGGCTCAAGTCATGAGATAAACCAGGAGGTTGGTGAAATAGAGCCCTGCATCCAGCTGTGTGCTGACAGCATGGAACCTGCTTGGGATTCTCTCCCTCTCTCTCTCTGGCCCTCCCTGCTCATGCTTACTCTCTCTCTCTCTCTCTCTCAAATAAATAAATAAATAAATAAACCTTTAAAAATTATTTAAAAGGGAAGAAAAGATACAAAGTTCAAGAGTAAAACCTTTCTTATTCCTATTTTTGTTCTTAAGCTACTCAGCATGTGTTTCAACTGAAAAAAAAATGCATCCACAAAGTATATAGCTGTAGACTAATATGATCCTATTTAACTAATTAAAACAGTAAGTACAAATTCAATTAAAGCATTGTTTCCTGTTTTTTTTTCAGTATTAGATACTGCAATACCCTTTCTTTGTTTAGATACACTCTCCTTTTACAGCCTTCTAAAAAGTTCCTAGTAATGTATTATTTCTTTTAATTAAAATGAATTGGATTTTGAGAATTTCTTGGCATCTTCATGACACCTCATAGCTAACTATTCATGTGGAATGAAAGCCATAGGCCAATTTATTATTCCTTTTATAATTCTTATTGCCATTTTCTCTGAAGACAACTTAATTGTAGCTCAATGAGTTAATTCTGCTATTCATCCATTATACGATGTAAATAAATGTCTATAATTTTAATCTTTTTCAAACTTAAAGAGTGTTCAAACTGTTTATAATTAGGGTCATGTATCAAGATTAAGTTGGTTTTACTCTGTCTAACATTTCCAGTATGAGAGTGAATTCTATGTATTTAACATTTATCTTTGTATTTTTTATTTAAATTGCAGTCCTTTCTTAAGGTTTACGATAGTAAGCACTCTAAACTCGTGTCCATTGCAAAATAAATATTAACTCTTACTGAAAAACATACTACCTTAAATTTTAATGAATATTCATGAATCTTATTTATGAACTGGCTAAATTGGAGACTTAAATTGGCCTCTCTCAAAACAAAATGTACCCTGTAGGATGACTTTGGGAGGATATAAGAGTACTCTTAAATTTTAAACTATAAGTATCCCTGCTGAAGTATTGATTTTCATTTATAGGGAATCTACCACATTATTTTCTGCCCATCATAGGATACCTTTATTCATCTCAAATAATTCCCCCTCTCTTTTTCTCTTTATGTCTCTCTCCCTCTCTCCTTCCCTCCCTCTGCTCCTCCCTTCCTTCCTTCCTCTCCTCTTACTCCCTCCCCTTCTCAATGAGATTATAGGACATTCAGTTTTGATGCCAAGCATGAATCTTTTTCAACTCCTTAAACAATAGAAACTCTGTAAATTTAGAAAAGGGACATTTTGTGTATTTTTTAAAGTTGAGACAGAAATGACACTCCCTTGAGTTTTACCAAATCTTTTCTTATCTCTGCATGTCTGTCTTTATCCATCTACATTAAAATAGGCCTGTGTTTATACATTCCCTGGTGGTTCCCAGTCTGGATTTTTAAAATAAATGGATCATACAATTTAGATATTTCAATCATGTTTTATCTTTTGTTCCTTTAACATTACAAAATCAGGTTCTTGTTTTTTATTTTGTTTTCCTTTTTTTTTTTTTTAGGTTCTATGAATTTCAAAGCATTGTTAGGCTTGAGAAAAGAGCAAGATATTTATCAATTCACACAGAGCTTCTTACTATTTTAATTGCAAGAGTGTGGTACACATTTCAAAATTCTGTAAAGTATAACCATATAGCTCTAAGTATAAAATAAATCTTGGTATACCTGAAGAGCTCTCCGCAGCCTCAGTAGTCTTGTTTTTTTTAGGAGACTTAGCTTAGTATAATGTCCCTTTCCCTCTATTTAGCTATTTAAAATCAATGTTCGAACAAAACTTCCAAGGTGGTAAGTTGGGTCAGTGTGCAGTAGAGAGATCTTTCAGACTGTGTTTTCTTTTATCTCTTTGTTTTATGAACACTTCCACATTTAGCTGTCTTATGCCCTCTGGGAGATCAACGAACCTCAGAGTATTTTCTTAAAGCCTTTTCTGAACTTCTACCTTTATTATGAGAATTGTGAAGTCTTTTCTCTGAACCTTTTCCAGTTGATTAATGTGGTCAGTGCTGTGTCTTTGTGTGAGCCACTTTGATTCCTCTCCCTGGGACTGTATTCACACTTTTTTATACTTTTTTGTTCCTTATTGATTCTCCTGCTATGAACTTCTCTTTTTTTCCTTGGATATTGAGATTCCACATTGCACATCCAATTCCTTTAGCTTTTAAGAAGGTTCTTACTGAATTGTTCATTCAACAGCAGGACTGGGAAAATCCAGTAGAGAAGATTCCTAATCTGAAGATACTCACAAGAGGAAACTAAAACTAAAGTAAAAATCAATAAATAAATGAATCCCATAAATTATTTCAATCCAAATATGGAATGTTGAAGGAAAGGTATTGTAAATGTTGTATTATAGAATTTTGGAGACATAAATGTTTATAAATGTCATATAGTCCAACACTTCATTTTACAAAAGAAACTGAATGAGAAGGCCAAGCAGTTTGCCAAGTATGATCTGAAAGAGGAAGATAATTATGGTAACATTATCAAAGGAAATTGGTCTTGATCTCTCCTTTCCAAACTTTTGCAAGTTTTCAAACTTCATAAGGAATTGGTAGAGTCCTTGATATGCGTTAAACTAAATAGTTGATCCATATTAATGTAAATATAATGTGAGATTTCAACAAAAGTTGTGGGTGTAAATACTTTAACCAAGAAATACTAAGGAAATTATAATAAAAACCTAGAAAGATTCTGCATTCAAACTCTCAGAGCATTTTTTTTAACTCTTTTGTCACTTCAAAGGTACCCAGACAAGAATATGTACATGATACGTTAGGATGTATCAGGTTTAGTATGTGATGTTTAAAAACTAGACAATGTGGAACTTGACTTAAAAAGGGGCCTTTTTGAATATACACAGACATGTATGTATATATATACATATCAGTATATACATTTCAGTATTATATACATCCACACACATACATATGCATAAAGTAAAATAAAATGTTGAGGTATGTATATACTATGATTTTTCCTGAAGACCTTTGTTTGAGATATAAAGTGTATTAAATTTACTTGTAACCAATGAGCATATTGTCTTCATTTCTATTTAAATGTATTATTTAAACTAGTGAAGAATGTATTTTTATTGTTAGGGGCAAAAAACCTAGCTGTTCTTTTGGGGGGGAGTGGGTGGGGAAAGGATTCCTATAATCTTTTTAACAGCTTAGATTGATTTTGAAATTTACTATCACTCTTCTTCTAATAATTATGATTTTAACAAACTTTTCTGGAACCTGAAGCAGAGGCTTAAATATTACACTGTTGTTCTCTGCTTTTGTCAGAAAGATAACTTCTTTTGTCAATTGATTTCTTTTGTGGAAAGCAGACTAATTTTATTACCAAAAATAATTAAAAAAAACAAAACAGATAAAGTAAGGTTGTGAAAGACATCTTTTTTTTATTTCATATTATGGATAATTTTTGCAGTGACCAAAAATATTTTTTCCCATATTTTAGTGACAAGACTTTTGGGAAATTTCCTATATTTTTCTTCCAAATTTCCTTTTTTAAAAATGATATAGGGGCGCCTGGGTGGCGCAGTCGGTTAAGCGTCCGACTTCAGCCAGGTCACGATCTCACGGTCCGTGAGTTCGAGCCCCGCGTCAGGCTCTGGGCTGATGGCTCAGAGCCTGGAGCCTGTTTCTGATTCTGTGTCTCCCTCTCTCTCTGCCCCTCCCCCGTTCATGCTCTGTCTCTCTCTGTCCCAAAAATAAATAAACGTTGAAAAATAAATAAATAAATAAATAAAAATGATATAGGTTTATGTATTTATGTTTCACAAGGAAAGGAAACTGATGTGAGCCAAAATAAAGGAGCCATGATCCCTGATTATCATTAACTCGGAAAATATAAAGATTAATGTTGATTGACGAATGTGAGCACAGAACAATACTTAGATATGTTACATTGAACAGATAAGCTAAATCAATAAAATAAAGGTATAATTATTGTACATCCCTCCATGAAATATGTTAATAACTGTAGGTTGGAAATAGGTGAAAATAATTTCACTTTGTGTTTTCTCAGGACTCTAAAGTCTTACTAATATTAAACTAACTTTATTAACTACCCCTTCTACAGGTCAAATGCAGTTCTGGATATTGAAAATACAAAGGCATAAATGTCATGGGCTCTGAATAAGCTTCCAAATTAATCAAGGAGAAAGACTTGTTATGGTAGTTTGTTCCACAATAGAAGGGAGTGACTTGTAAACTGAGCTATGAATGTTGAGTCAGAATATCCTGAGTTTGGAGGAGGGGTGGGACAGTCGAACAAGGGCAATAGCAGTGAATACTCTAATCTATTGTAAATGATGAGCTAATTCTCTGAGGCAAAGGAAACAATGTCATATTAGGAGAAATGAAATAATTATATAACGATTGGAAGAGGATGGGGTGATAGTGTGTGTACCTGTGCGTGTATGCATGTGACACTCATACACGGGTGCACCTTCATTTGTACTGGAGGTCTTAGTTTAAGAGCAAGAATCTGGAAAGAAAAGCAGGAGGATATATTTGCTTTGCCCTTTTCATAAAATGAGTAAATGCCAGTTTTCTATATCAGAGTGTTAGCTAAGTCAGGTTGATGAAGTAAAACTTCTCCAGCTTTGTTTTTTCTCAAATCCTTGTGGATAAATTGGCTGGGCCAAGGCACTGAAGATCTTTCTAACCCTTGTTAAGGAGGTTGGACCATGTTCTGAAGGTAGAGGGATGTCACTGAAGAGTAATAAGAGAAATGGGAATGATCAGAGTGTGGTTCCTAAAATCACTGTAAAGGCTGAATGAGAAAAGAGTAAGATTAAAAAGCAGAGAGCAAGTTAGAAGATTTACAATGGATAGAGATATATAGATTAAGAGAAATTTTATGCAGATTACTGAGAAATAGAAAAGTAACCCCTGATATCTGAGACGTGATAGCTAGGTCTTGGTGTTCTGTGGCACATAAACAATTTCACAGAATATCAACATCAGTAAAGTTACTCTGACCATAATGGTTCAAGATAAAAACAAGACCCCTCTGTACTCATGTCTGGATACAAACAAAGGACATTATCCAAACCGTAAAAATAACCAAACTTCACCTTATCCTGGCTAAAACGAGTGACTCCTGCCTCTACTGAATAGTTTTAGCCTCACTGGAGTCACACATTCCCCTCACTTCCTGACATTAACACCAATCCAATCAAAGAGCAAAGCCTTTATTCCTAACCTCTCCCTAAAATCACAAAACATAAATCCAAACCTATAGTAAGTTTATTTGAGTACCCTCATATTGGGATGTTGGACAGTTCATTCTAGTGTGTGTGTAGTTCCTAACTGTAACTAAAGCTGTATTCCTTTAGTCTTTGGTTAGAGGTCATTGATATTAATTAGCTAGATAATGTAGCTATGAAAGTATTCAATCATTTAGTTTCTAAATTAAGGTTTAATACATGACTAAGTATCTTTTTTTTTAAGTTTATTTATTTTGAGAGAGAGGATAGGGGAAAAGAGAGAGAGGGAGAGGGAGAATCCCATGCCGACTCCACCTTATCGGCTTGGAGCCTGACACATGGCTCCATCCCACGAACTATGAGATCATGACCTGACCGGAAATCAAGAGTCGGGCACCTAACGCACTCAGCCACCCAGGTGCTGCTACATGACTAAATACCTTATCTGAACTTTCTTAGAGCAAAATTAAAGGGAAAATTTATAAAATATATGGAAATTAGAGAAGTTCTTTACATGAATATTGGTCTCTCTCTATACTGGTCCCAGAAGAATACATCTTCAAATTTCCTTTAAAAATGATTATACCTCAAAAGTGGCAGATATATTATTAAAAAGCAATATGGTATTTATTATATTAAGCACCATTAATGCTATAGCAATCTAAATTTATAAGTACTTTCCAAAGATCCTATCCAGAAGAATGTCTTTTGAAGGAATAAATTTTTATTTTTTTTTTAATTTTTTTTTCAACATTTATTTATTTTTGGGACAGAGAGAGACAGAGCATGAACGGGGGAGGGGCAGAGAGAGAGGGAGACACAGAATCGGAAACAGGCTCCAGGCTCTGAGCCATCAGCCCAGAGCCCAACGCGGGGCTCGAACTCACGGACCGCGAGATTGTGACCTGGCTGAAGTCGGACGCTTAACCGACTGCGCCACCCAGGCGCCCCGGAATAAATTTTTATTAACATATTTGGCTATGTATATTGTGACTCCTGTTACTTTTGCATAGTACTGGTAGATGTTTTAAAATGTTTAAAAAAATTTGTTTTATTCTTTAATACCAACATTTTTTAATATATTAAGTAATAAAGAGATGCATCTCTAATTGTGATTGAACCAAAGTAACTACTGTGGAATATAATTTTTAAAGTTCTCATATTTAATACATATAATTGTAATTCTATTCATTGAGAGTTAATACTAAGATTTTTTACAGTTTATCATAGATACGTAATCATTTTATATTGTTTGATATATAAAGGTGGGAAGCTTTGTATAGTTTTTAATTAGTTCTGAATTTGTGAATGTATCTGTTAAGATTTTTCTGCCTCAAAAGAAAAAAAAAACTGAGAAAAGAAAGCTTTGTTACCCAATTTTCTGAATTCCTATGGTTGACTATTCGTCATTTTACGTGTAATTTATGTGAAATATATGGGTGTTGTGTCATATAAAACAAGGTAAGTAATATACAACAATTTGATGTAGAAAAATATTTCAAATATTTAAGAAGTAAATGACATGAAGAATAATCATAGGAAAAATTTTGAATGTATCATTTGCAATGCTCATTTAGTCATCTGGTTATTAATTTACTAGTTTTTGAAATTTTTAATAGGCTTTGTTGTGAATTTTGCCAGATGAATTTTTTGGATGTAACATGCAAAAGTATTTATATATTAGTCAAGAGTTTTAGACAAACAGAGCCAATTAGAATGTGTACATGTTCATAAAATATTTGTTTTAAAGAATTGGCTCATGTAATTATGGAGACTGGCCATTCCAAAATCTGCAGGGTAAAGTGACAGACTGGAAACCTAGGGGACAGTTGATTTTGCAGCTTGGGGTCCAAAGGCAGTCTGGAGGCAGAATTCCCTCTTCCTCAAGGGACCTTAGTCTTCTCAGCTGATTGCGTGAGGCCCACCTACATTATGGAGGGTAATTTGCTTTACTCAAACTACTGGTTTAAATGTTAATCTCATCTAAAATATACCTTTACAGCAACACCTAGACTGGTGTTTGACCAAATATATGGATATTGTGGCCAGCCATGTTGACACATAAAATTAGCCATCACAGTTTGTAATATTTTTTACATATCATTGCTGTATTGAATATTCCTTAAACTATAGGTAAAGCTGTGTAGTTTTCCTCATCCTTTCTCACAGAATTTTACTATCTTTAAGAAAGAAAGGAATATATGTCCTATCTTGAGATGAACCTTGAGTTATTTATACGAGACTAACACAATGAATTTCTTTTGGAAAGAGTGTGATAGTAACATTTTTAACATAAATGTTTTTTAGTTAGGCTGGTGGTGAGACTGCGTGTTAGTAGGTAGGTCTTTAGAAAATACTGAGTGTTTTAACCATTAATACATGATTATTGGCAAATATGATTAAAAACTAAGCTGCTCTTAAGTAATACTTCATATTTAATATTTTTTTGAAGGAATAAATAACTTTTTTAAATGCTTGCTTATTTTTGAGAGAGCAAAGGAATACACACGTGAGCAGAGGAGGGGCAGAGACAGACAGACAGAGGATCCAAAATGGACTCTGCACTGATAGCAGAGAACCAACCTGATGTAGCGCTCAAAATCATGACTTGAGCCAAAGTTGGACACTTAACTGGCGCTTTCCAGGCGCCCTATGAATAAAATTCCTTTAAATGAAAAACAGTAAAAACTTGGAAAATTAAGAATATTGTAATAGAGTTCCATGAAGTTCTATTATAGTAATAAAAAAAACCAAATACTTGTTTTCTTAATTTTATATATTTATAAAATAAACCACTAATTTTAAGGAAAAGTTCCAACATCCTGAATCTTTAACTGTATTAATCTTTCATGGAACATCAACTAACTGATAGAAATAAGGCCTGCTCTTTTTTTGTCCCCTGTTGTCTTCTTTCTTTTCTCTCCCTTATTTCCTCTATCTCTTATTTCCTCCCTCCTTCCCTCCCTTCTTTCTATCTTCCCTTCTTTCTATCCTTCCTTCCTTCCCTCCTTCCTTCCTTCTTTCCTTCCTTCCTTCCTTCCTTCCTTCCTTCCTTCCTTCCTTCCTTC